GTATTGGTTCAGTGGCAACATCGGAGGGGATCAGAGATGACCTGGGAGCCAGATGGTATGATGCGGGAACAGCACCCGGAGCTGTTTTAGAGCGAGACTTCGAGGGCGAAGTCTAGTTCTAGTGGGGGAGAGTTGTAACATCCGGACTTTTGCCAGGTATCATGTAAATTGAATTTTGTTAAATTGTGAGGGGGACTCGGCGAGTTGGAGCTCAGACTCGCCGAGTAGAGACGCGGATTGGACGATGGATCGCGCCTGGACTCGGCGAGTCCAGGATATGGACTCGGCGAGTCTGCGCTGTGTAGTGAAACCCTAAATTTCCGGGTTTGAGACCTATTTAAAGGGCCTTATGGCCGTCATTTGTGCTCACCCAACCCTTAGAGAGAAACCCTTGAGTGCTTGGACGATTTGAGAGAGAAAGGAGCATTTCTTGACCTTGTGTGTGCCATTTAGCAAAGAAGGAGGTGATCCTAGGCAAGAGGAAGCAAAGGAGGTTGCTATTTCGTGGATTTGGAGCTTAGATCATCAATCTAGAGGTATGATTTCGGTTTATATTCTGTTTGGTGAAGTATTATGCGATTTAGGGCTTATTATGGACATTTATGGGATGATTTGATGCCCAATGGTTCCCTCCTTGTGCTGAGGTTTTGGATCTGGATCCATAGAGGTCCAGAGAGCCTCACTCATCAAGCTTTTTGTATGGCAATGGAGTTTATGACCTTGTGTTGTAGTATTTGAGTCAAAAACATCATATATGGTCATATAGAGGTTGTATGTGCATCAAGATTGTAACTTTACGTGCTAAATGAGCTTGGAAGGACTGGATCTATGGGTTAATGGACTGGATCTGACCTTATGAGCAAGTTTGAGTCATTGCATGGCACGGACTCGCCGAGTCCGAAGAACAGACTCGGCGAGTAGCATGAATGTTGCCCGACCACACAGTGAGTGGTCTTGCCGAGTTGGGAGGGGGACTCAGTGAGTCAGGGGGGAGTCAGAGTGGACAGGTGGACTGAGTCAAACTGGACTCGCCGAGTTGTTCTTGAGACTCGGCGAGTTGAGTCGTGGTGGCCCCACAACTCATGCCAGGTGGAACTCGTCGAGTTGGGAGAATGCTCGACGTGTCAAGGGAGGATTCCAGGGAAATTGGTGTATACGCTCAGACTCGCCGAGTCGCTATAGCGCACTCGCCGAGTCCGGTCAAAGTTGACCGTTGACCGTTGACCAGCGTTGACCTAAGTTGACTTGTTATAGTATGGTCAACCCTAGTTGGGAAAGTGTTAATTAGAGATGTATTGTGCTATAGGAGGACTATAGCTCGGCAGATCGAGTGATTAGCGATTTCAGATTTACGACTTACCGAGACACACGAGGTGAGTCTTCTCACTATACTTTACCTTGAGTAGGTAACCAGAGTTATGTGATAGAGTATTGGTATGCTATGTATGTTACGTGTTGTACTGCATTATTTCTATGTGATTTATGTGGTGCATATTTATCAGAGCTAGAACCTGAGGGTTCACAGAGTTTGGGTGCACGGACCCACAGAGTTATAGCCTCGAGTGGCTAATATGTGTTATATGTGGTATTTTGGGGAACTCACTAAGCCTTGTGCTTACAGTGTTTGATGTTATTGTTTCAGGTACTAGTGACGATCGCGGGAAGGCGCCGGCTTGATCCGTACACACACACGCTCGGAGTTTGATATTATGATCTTGGGATTTTGTATTGTCTTGTTTGGATAATTAAAATGGTTGTTTTTATGAATATCGATGGAATTATGTTTTATAAAAAATTGAAAAATTTGTCTTGAAATTTACGGTGTTACAACTCAATTATTTAAATATTTAATACACACAAAGAAGATAATATAACCAAATATATTTCATTATTGAGTTCTGACAACTATAACATTCTTCTTTATTTTTATGTATTCTACATAATAAACTTTGAAAGAGAAAACAAGCAAGTATGGGTAACCAAACATGAAAAATAATGTTCTTATATAAGTAAAATATTTCAATTAATTTATCAATTAATTAGAATACGTTGTAGAGTTTTGAGGTTTCAAATTAATATGGTTCAAAATAGATGACTTATCTTAAACCGACTTAAACCATATTTATTTGAATTATCACCTTTACCTTTATAAGAGATATATAAATTATAAAGAAATATTATAAAGATAAAGGTAAAGTCGAACAATGGACATCATGATCACATATTGGGAAAAGGCCCTTGGAGATCACCTCACCATTGGAAGCGTCAAAATAGTCTGGTCGATAAAACAATAAAAGACATAGTATTGAAAATGGGCACAATTATTTTGGCAGGGTTATGATTCATTTCGAATGCAAGGATGACATGCTCTTGAAAATGGTCTTTGAATGTAACCCATATACAAAATTGGTGTATTTTTAAAGATTGGTTGGAATTTTATCATTGAAGTTAGTCTAATACATTTTATGGGCAAAGTTTAAGACGAAGCTTAGATACATTAACTAGGCGAATGCCTACGCGTTGCGCATAAACATCTATATAATTGAAGTCTATACAAATATATGTTTTTTTTTAAATATAACAATAACATTGTTGTTAAATTTGATATAATAATCTGTATACTAAATTGATATAATATATTAATTATTTTGAATTATATAATAATATATACATCTATTATAACTGCATAATCTCAATCGTTTGAATGACTTCTACCCCGAATTATACATGAATAAAACTAAATATAATATATGGCTTAATGTTATTTATAGTGGTTGTTATCGTTAATTAATTTTTTAAAACTTATTTGCTTAATGTTTTCATTTCTATCATTATAATTATTTAAAATATCAAACATTGTTTTTTGATTTTAAAGGTAACAGTATAATAATTTATATAAAGTTATTTTTAACTACTATTATTGTAAGTATTTTAAGCTACTTATTTGAAAACTTTTAATGATTATAAAAATATATTTAGGAAATATTTTAGTTAAATTGAGATTACAATTTAGTTTTTGCATTTATCACTACAATTTATAAATTTTAACTGTTTATAAAATATTCTTTGGTTTTTTAAGTGGATCTGAAATTTATATTTAAGTTGACATTGTAATGTTATATTTAAATTAACAATTTAAGTATTTTGTTCAAACTATTCAAAAGTTGTAACTTTAAACTGATAATGTTTTACATACAACAACATTTTAAATCTAATAAATTAAGTATAATATGTTAAAAGTTAAAGACATAACTTTATAATTAGAAATAAAGATATTATTTTAAATTGAAATTAAATTTATTTATGATTACGCTTTAGGTTTGATATTTATTTAACCTTATTAACCAACTTATAACCATTATTAGAAAGACACTGTAATTTATCACTTTAACTATTTACAAAATATTTTTTGGGTTGTTTAAGTTAAACTAAAGTTTTTATTTAAGTTGACCATATAATGTTATACTTAAATTAATAACTGAAGTATTTTATACAAATTGTTCCAAAATTTCATCTTTAAAATGATAATGGTTTATATCCAACAATATATTAAAACAAATAAATTAAGTATAATATGTTAAAATTTAGCACACATAACTTTATAAGTAGATGTAAGTATATTATTTTAATATTGAAATTTCGTTTATATATGGTTACACTTTAGGTTTGATATTTATTTAACATTATTAAACAACTTATAATTATTATTAAAAAGAAATTGAAAAGTCATGGGAGTTTCAAATGAATGTTGTGAAACGAAAAATGCATGAGAGTTTCAAATGAATGTGGTGAAAGGAAAAATGCTTCCTTTATAAAGATATAAAGATAAAGATAAAGATTAGGATGTTTGGATTATCTCTCAATTATTTTAGCTTGTAAATCTAAAAGGACTATTTTATTTACTCTCATGAATGTCTTTTTTGGTTATTCTTACTTAAAAAGTTACTATGATATAGAGAACATGACTTTAAGAGCATTGGGTATCGGGCAATGTGATAACATCCAAAATTGCCACATTATATGCCAACACAACAATAACTAGAAGCGGGGTGGTGTGCATATGTTATAACATATTAAGAGGTAGAGAGAGAAGAAGAAAGAAAGAATTTGATTGGTTGATGAAAACAAAAGTCAATCACATTTCTCATTTCTGCTTATCGTCATTACAACGAGTTGTGTCTGGACACCCCCTTAACTAGAAAGGGGGTGATGTTCATCTTGTTATGACCGGGTTATGAGTTGGGATATCAGCAATAATATCACTTCTCAGGACAACATAGACAACAAAGTATCATTAAATAAGACCTTAAAGACAACAATTAAGCGAGACAACATAAGTATTATTAAATAAGACCTTAGAGACCTTAGGGGGTGTTTGAGATTGCTTTTAGAATGACTTTTGACTTTTAACTTTTTCAAAAAGTTAAAAAGATGTTTGAGTAATAGAAAAGTTCTTTTTAAAATCAGTTTTTGTACAGAGTAAAATAAAGGGTTTCAAAAAGTCACAAAAACCTAACTTTTTGTGATTTTACATGAAAAAGTTAAACTAAAAGTCATTTTGCTAATCCAAACACTTTTTAAAGAATTTTTTTTACAAAAAAATCTTTTTACAAAAAAATCCTTCCACAAAAAAGACCTTTCATGTTTAAAAGCAATCCCAAACACACCCTTGGTCTTTAATGTATGTATATGAACATCTATATGAACATACTTTTGTATGTTTTAAATACTTAACGAAGACCTTGTATGGTGTTGTAGTAGAAACACGTGAAACAGATCATGCCTCAATCACGTGACCAGTCATCCCCACCGTTTACTTTGGGCCATCTAACCGTAACTGCCACGTGTGTCCAGAAACACAATCACATCACAGATGATCCAACGGTGGAGATTATCCCTCCCACCCTCTGAAACTAGGGTTTTCTCTCTCCTCTCTCTCTCTATATATATATATATATATATATATATATATATATATATATATATATATATATATATATATCTGAAGTTTCTCCATGGTCGGTGCAGTGCAGTTCCGTCTGCCCTCCCGAAAAAACAAAATACTTCCTCCTCACAGAAATTTCAATCTCCGTCGACGCTGATCTCCGACCTCGGATCTCCGACGAATTATCCTTTTTTATTTGAAAAATCCGTATAATTTTGCGTTTACGGTGTTGTTGAGCTTTTAGTTTTCGATTAATTTAGTGCGTTAAAAGAAAAAAAACAGAGAAAAAATGGCGCAGATTCAGGTACAGCCTCCTCCGGTGTCTGGATCAAATGTTGCGACAGGCGCGACGATCAATGCAGGCGTTGTTGCCGCTACGGCTATCGCTGGCGGAGCGGTGGCGGGTGCTAACCAGTCCTTTGTGACGACTTCGCTTTACGTTGGGGATCTAGAGTTTGGTGTGACTGATTCGCAGTTGTACGATATGTTTAATCAGGTTGGACAAGTTGTTTCGGTTAGGATTTGTAGGGATTTGGGCACTCGGCGATCCCTTGGTTATGGTTACGTCAACTTTAGCAATCCTAATGATGGTTAGTATCCACATGCATTTGTTAATTTGATGTTGATCAGATTATTTTCTCTAATTGTAAAACATTGAATACCAGATGTTTGTTGTCGTAGACTCGCCAAACACGACGTAACCGTTTCTTTTACACCTCCTAATTCTTACGTATAATTTGTTTAATATGGAATTCTTATTATCAATTACATCTTTGGTACGTTGGGGATTTCCATGTCTGTATCTCTGGTTTTCAATCCGTGTAATTTTAAACCCAGTATAGAATAGTTTAAGGGTGAATGGTCTTCCATTCTAATTGTGTGATCCTACACCCCCTGCATAATTGCAGAACTTTTTTGTGCTTTTCACTTGATTATATAAGATCAGGATTTGACCTGTTATGTATAATAGTGGATTAGATTTTCAACCATGTATGTATCACTTGTAAAACAACCATTATATGATTTTAACATTTGGTAAACAAATGCAAACTTGGATGACTGATATTCCACAAAGTGAGAATTACAATGTTTGAAAATCTTCTTCCTTCTGTTCTTGAAATCAAGGGATTCATTAGTTTTGCATATGGACTTTTACCTTGAGCCATATATGAAAGCAAATGACAACAAACTGATTATGTTTTATACACTATCAATGTATGATTTACTTCATTTGATTGTATATTAAGAATTTTACATTTACACTTTATGTTTACTCAATTGCAGCTGCAAGGGCTATTGGTGTTCTGAACTTTACTCCAGTAAATGGAAAGTCGATTCGGATCATGTATTCTCACAGGGATCCAAGCATTCGGAAAAGTGGAACTGCAAATATCTTTATCAAGGTAAATTTCTACATTCCATTAATAATTTTACATATTGCTGGTTTGACTTTTTGTACTTTTGACTTTTTGGGATCCAGGCCTAAATCCTAATGGTTTATTAACTTGTTTTAGGTTTTCTTCTGAATGTTAAAGTAAACAATCATTCATCTTCTCCATCATTTCTTTTCCAACTTCTAAGTTCTAACAATTACCATTAATTTCAACTTTTTACAGAAACCATATAACGAAGTTATAAGCATTTTATTCTTTCTTTTTTCTTGTGTGTGTTAAGCCATACATTATGTATAGAATCATGGGATACAGCAGTAAAATACTAAAATGCTGAATGTTTCACTCACCCCTTCTTCTGTTTCTCTATTATTCCATTTTTGGGCTCTTTCCCATTTCTCAATATTACACTTTGTTTCCATTAATCGATGTATCCTTTCGTTTTTATACAGAATTTGGACAAGACAATTGACAACAAAGCTTTGCACGATACATTTTCAACTTTTGGCAACATTCTTTCATGCAAGATAGCTACTGACTCCATAGGCCAATCAAAAGGCTATGGATTTGTTCAATTTGACACTGAAGAAGCTGCTCAAAGTGCAATTGATAAGCTAAATGGTATGCTGATGAATGACAAACAAGTCTATGTTGGTCATTTTCTTCGGAAGCAAGAACGCGACTCTTCTTCAACAAGAACAAAGTTCAACAATGTTTATGTAAAAAACCTCCCTGAATCCACAACTGATGAGGATTTAAAAAAGACTTTTGGTGAATATGGCATGATCACAAGTGCTGTGGTTATGAAAGATAGTGATGGGAAATCAAAGTGTTTTGGGTTTGTCAACTTTGAGAATGCTGATGATGCTGCTAATGCTGTTGAGGGGTTAAATGGGAAGAAGTTTGATGACAAAGAATGGTATGTTGGGAAAGCTCAGAAGAAATCAGAAAGAGAAATGGAGTTGAAGAGTCGATTTGAACAAACTGTAAAGGAAGCTGCTGATAAGTATCAAGGTCTTAATTTGTATGTCAAGAATTTGGATGACACCATTGATGATGATAAGCTTAGGAAGCTGTTTTCTGAATATGGTACAATCACTTCATGCAAGGTTTGTTTTCTCCTTTCTTTATTATATATTCTTTCTATTACAATTTACAAGATTCCACTTTTGATTTTTTATTTAATACATTCTACACTGTTTAATAGGTTATGCTGGATCCCAATGGAAATAGCAGAGGCTCTGGATTTGTGGCCTTTTCAACTCCAGAAGAAGCTTCTCAAGCTGTAAGTATCATGTATAGTTTATTTTTAAATAATTCAAAAAAAAAAAAAAAAACTATTTTTGATTAAAAAAATTTGTATAGCTTGGGGAGATGAATGGGAAAATGATTGTCAACAAACCACTTTATGTTGCACTTGCTCAAAGGAAAGAAGAGAGGAGGGCTAAGTTACAGGTAATAAATATAATATCTCTACTGTTTGAATGAATTATTCATGAAGTAATATAATATTTATTCTTTTGGTTATTTTCTAAAAGGCACAATTTTCACAAATGAGACCTGTTGCAATGGCAAACTCAATGGGCCCACGTATGCCCATGTATCCTCCCGGTGGTCCCGCTCTCGGGCAGCAGCTTTTCTACGGGCAGGCTCCTCCTGCTATGCTTCCTCACCAGGTAAAATTATAAATCTTAATTACTCTTATTTCCCTTTTTTTTTTTTTTTTTTTTTAAATTAAATAAAATACACTAAAGTAAGAATCAAGATTCTGTTATTTAAATTTTAGGCGGGTTTTGGTTACCAACAACAGTTGGTTCCTGGAATGAGGCCAGGTGGGGCCCCAATGTCAAACTTCTTTCTGCCCGTTGCTGCCCAACAAGGTCAACAAGGTCAATGCCTTGGTGGCACTGGTAGGCGTGGTGCTGCTGCAGGCTCTGTTCAACAAAATCAGCAGCCTCTTCCCATGATGCAGCAGCAGGTATTTAATATTTAATTCTTTATCATTTTCTAAATGGGTAAAAATCAACAAACAGTAACGTAATTCCATTTCAGATGTTTCCAAGAGGACGTATGTATCGTTACCCGGGTCGCAACGCACCGGATTCTAATCTCCCAGTGCTTCCTGTCCCATACGATCTCAGTGGTGGTGGGATGTTTCCTCGGGATGCTGCTGCGGCAATGGGTCAGCCAATGCCGATTACAGCTTTGGCTTCTTCCCTTGCTAATGCCCCTCCTGAACAGCAAAGGACGGTATGTTATTTTAAAATTCGGATTGAAGTTGCAATTTTGTGTAAAGTGTAGGGACCAAATCTGTAATTTGTTATAATAAAATGGACAGATGCTGGGAGAGAGTTTGTACCCACTGGTGGATCAGTTGGAGCCTGAGAATGCAGCTAAAGTGACGGGAATGCTTTTGGAGATGGACCAAACGGAAGTGTTGCATTTGCTGGAGTCGCCGGATGCTTTGAAAGCGAAGGTGTCTGAGGCCATGGATGTGTTGAGGAATGTCAACAACACCACCAACACCAACACCCCAGCAGCTCAGCTTGCTTCCCTGTCTCTTAAGGACAACCTTGTTGCATGAGAGAGTAACTTCTTTTTATTTTGCTACTATTTAATGAGCCAGCCAGAGGTCTAGGTTGTTACTTTTTTTTTTTTTTGCTTGACTTCTAATTTGGAGTTTTTTTTATAGAAGCTTATCTATCCAACTTTGAAAACATCATTGAGATGCCTCGGTTTGCTCTTGATGTGGGGTTTTGTTTTATGGGAATTTAACTTAATTTGTTGGTTTTTTTTTTCTTTCTGTTTTTGTGGATTAAAATAGTTTCCTCAAGTGAAACTGGTTTTAGTCCTAAATTGGTTCAAACACTCGACAGTTTTAAAATTGGACTGAAGTTACATAACAATCTTATATAAACCTTTAATCTGTATATATAATCTATTTCTCTAATCTGTACATATATATGTGTGTGTGTGACAACTGGTTTGAAATTTTATTATGTCTATTTCGAGGTTAGAGCCGACACTAGATAACCGATGTGCTATGTGGTGGTGAGTGGTTGAGTTAGGATTAGAATAAAGGGTTATCCTTATTTTTTTTTTTAGGGTAGCCCAATTTTTTTACGGGGTATTTGGATTTTCCGGGTTCGGTTTTAAACCTAAACCTTAATCAAATTGTTGGCTAACCTCAAATCTCATGAAATGTATATATAAAATAATTCCTATAGGTTTAAATCATGGTTGTCAAAATCGCGATCCTGATCGTAGGATCGTATGATCCTACGATCCTATGTATGAAAAACGATCCGGATCGTAAAAGGATCGTATTTTGGGTAGGATCGCAGGTAGGATCGTAAAATCGTAGGTAGGATCGTAAGATCAAGATCCGATCCGATCCTACCTTCCTTAAAAAAAAATTTTTCAAATGAATTTTTTTTTACCATTTTATGTCTTTTACCCTTTACCAATCTACCATTTATCATTTTTATTGTGATTTATGACTAATATTTTAAAATTTTTATAACTTTTGAACGAAAAATTATATGTTTGAAATATTATTTATGATTAATATTATAAATTAGAATTATATTCTATTTTGTGGGATCTTATGATTTCGATCCCGATCTTACGATTCCGATTTTGCAAACCCAAAAACGATCCTAGGTAGGATCCCGATCTTGACAACCTTGGTTTAAATTGAATTTTGAAAATCATTTTAATGAATTAAAATTTGTATCCAACTAGAATAGGTAATATCAATATATGTTATATACCCTATTTATTTAAATAATTTTCTTATATAACACATAAATTGAAAACCATTGTAAATATGAAACAATCTGAATTTTTCAGGGAAAAAGATGTAAATTATCATTTGAAATGGAACACCACCATTCTTTGCAAGATACAATGATTATAAGTTAAAATTAAGAAAAAAAGGAAAAAGAAAGAGTCGAACTTTGGATAAAGTGGTTGGAAGACATGTGCGCCTAACCACTTGATCTATAATTAATTTAATCATATTCTTTTGCAGATTATTTAATATGTGAATACTTGTAGAATTCAACGGAATTTTCCTGAAAAAATTACACCACCAAAGAAAATTTGAGGGGCATCCCGGGACGTCCTTGAATCTATCCCTGGTGGTGGTTAGGGGTGTAAACGAGTCGAGCCGAGCCCGAGCCTAGCCAGGCTCGGCTCAAGCTCGTTTAAGTTATATGAGGCTCGAGCTCGAGCTCGGCTCGATTCGAGCTTCCTTGTACTGAGCTCGGCTCGAGCTTGTAAAGAATCATACAAGCTTGGCTTGGGCTCGAGCTCGACTTGTTTTTTATCTGATGTGTCTAAATAAGCTTAAACTCGGCTCGAGCTCATTAAGAAGCTCGTTTAATAATACGCTAAATCCATAACTCCCCTAATATGTTTTTATTTTAATATATATAAATAATATTAAATTAAATTATATAAAGGTTCGTTTAGGCTCGCGAGCCTAATCAAGCTTAATGACATAGGCTTGAGCTCGAGCTCGTTTAATAAATGAGCTTAATATTAAGCTCGAGCTTGGCTCGGGCTCGTTTAAAATCGATTTCGAGTTGAGCTTTTAACGATCCGATCTCAAGTAGCTCGTGAGTAGCTTGGCTCGTTTGCATCCCTAGTGGTGGTCTTATAACTCCGCTTGGATTGATCGCAATAATTTAACTTCATTACCAGCTAGTAAGACATTGTCTCTCACACCATCACATTAGCTTTCTACTCATATGTTACTTCGAATTTTACCCCCACATAAGTAGATTTGATGAGATTTCATACAAGATATCGTATGAATATATAAGACATGGATTATAACCAATCTCATAGTCTAAAATTCTGTTTATCGATTTCCGATTTATGACGAATGAATTCAGAATACTAATTGAACACATCAATTAGTCCGGACTTGCCAAACACTTTAGATGTCGGCAACAAATCATTGAGGGACCAAGTATATCGTTTTTTGTCGCACCCCGGACGACGGCGGAAACATCGGCATGTACGACATAGAGATATTGGATCGAGGCATATATATATATATATATATATATATATATATATATATATATATATATATATATATATATATATATATATATATATATAGAGAGAGAGAGAGAGAGAGAGAGAGCTAGGTTCAAATGTTTCTAGCAACTATTGTATGCATGTATGCACCAATGAGAATTGAGGAAATAATAAATTATTAAATAAATCATTTAAGGGTATTATAGTAATCTTTACATATTTAATTATGGTAGATAATTAATATGTTTAATATCCCTTTAAATATGGGATGTCAAAGTCAAAACCTATAGAAAAAAACCCTACAATTGCCATCTTCAATTTTTTTCATTCTTTGTTGTCTCGGTGGAGAAATCGAACCATCAAGGTAGTTCCTCCACCTTCTTCTTCAACTACCCATCATCTTCCATAGCCCCACTACTTGTAGCAGCACACAATTTCATCTTCCTTCCTTCCGCTCCATTGCCGATACCCAAACCAAATTATCATCTCGTCACCACAACCATCTTTTCGGACCACCATCATGACACCGATGACGAGTAGCTCGTCACCAACAACTTCGAAAGTTTAGTTCCCTGTGATGACGACCACGACTAGGTAGCTTCTTCTTTTCTGTTTTTCTTTTTTGTTCTCTTCCCCCCTGTGACATATTCGTTATTGTTGTCTAATTGTTTCAATCCCTTGCCTCTATTGCTGAAGATATGGCGGAATTTGTACTTGTCTGTCGATATCTTATGTTTTCTGCTGGAATTTGGTCAGAAAATTGGTCTTGCTGTCGTAATACCGCCACAACTCTTATGTCAAAATCGAATTGGTAAGATTTTTCTTATTCCCTTTTTCTTTTCATTAATCTGCTATTTTCTTTTTCTTTCTTTTTTTTGATACAAGGTAACATATGAAATCATATGTTGTGTTTTTTGGAATATAAAATTATATATTCTTTGTTTGCTAAAACACTGTGTTTGCTGAAACATGAAACTAAATGCAACAATGTAACGACCAAAAATTTCAACATAATTTAAACTTTTCAAAACAATTCATTTTAATAACATTATTACAAAAAGGTTTTCAATACATTATTTATCAGAGTATTCACAAGTCCATTTCATAAAACATAAACGCGAGGAACGGTACGATCACGCGTTTGCCTTGCCACAGTCTCCTGAAGAACCTGAAAAACATTAAACCACAACTGTAAGCCCGAAAGCTTAGTGAGATACCCCCAAAATACCAACCACGTATACGCCCTTCCAGGCCACGACGTTCCGGTCCAAAACATATTACCTTCCGGCCCGTAACATATTGCCTTCCCGCCCATAACATATTGCCTTCCGGCCAATAACCTATTGCCTTCCGGCCCATAACATATTGCCTTCCGACCCATAACATAAAAAGCATACATAACATAACAGAACATAGAACAGCCATGCATATCGGTCAAACTCCAGTGTAAACAACCCTGTGCACATACATTCAATCATATAACAGTTCGCAGTCAACAAATCGATCAAGCGGATCACATAACATATCATTACCCTAACCAGGATATCGACCTAGCCGATCACGAGCATATATCACTCTACGTCTCAGTCACAATACTACTTACACACATACGCCTTTCCAGGCCATGACCTTCCGGTCCACATAACATACAATGCCTTCCGGCCCATAGCATAATGCCTTCCGGCCCATATCATAATGCCTTCTGGCCCATAGCACGCAATACCATAACAAACAACTACCCGGATTTCCATCCGGTAAAGGGTCGGCCTTGGTGCCGTAGACCCTATCGATATAGTGAGGATAACTGACCTCGAACTGCCGGCTGAAAGGATAAGATCCCGTTGCTCCGAACTCCGACACGAAGTCCTCCACTGAACACCAAAACACTCAACTCAATATATATCCTTAAATACCAAAATACCCCTGGACGACAACTGGTCAACCTTGGACAAAGTCAAAGTCAACCTTTGACTGACTCTACTCACCGAGTCAACCCGATGACTCGCCAAGTCCCTAAGCTCAAGACTTCCCTCAATCCGCGACCTAACTTGCCGAGTCCAACAACTCTGAGTCCACTCGCACCCAACTCACCGAGTCATCCCTTGACTCACCGATTCTTGACTCAACCAAAAAATATTGGGACTCTTCGACAAGACTCGCCGAGTCCAAGAACAGACTCGCCGAGTCTAAGGCTATCTTCAACCTACTCGCCGAGTTGTTCATCCAACTCGTCGAGTTCCAACTCATCTTCAAGCAACTCGTCGAGTCCACCAATGTGACTCGCTGAGTACCACCGGTCTGAATCCATACAGAAGCATTCCAGGCCATTCAATTGATCCAAAACATAGATCTAGCCTCCTACAATCCATCCATCACGTAAAGTGGCAAACTTTACGTGAATCCAAAGAGATCTAGGCCTTATTCACTTTAGAGCCAGGGTTTGGGACATGATGGCTTCACTAAGCACTCAAACACAGGAACTTTAATGCACTCTAGGCCTTCAATATTCCAGATCTGATGTAGCAACCTCAGATCTAACCTCCAAACTCCAAAACATACCAAGATATACTCCCCACAAACCCCAAAATGATGAATCCATATGGGTGATAGCACAAGGACGAGATATTACCTCAAAAGAATGCCCCAACTGCAATGAAACTCGAATCCAAGCAAAGCCCTTTGATCCAAGCCTTTTCTCCTTCAAGATTTCTTCAACAAACACCTCCCCAAGCTCCAAATGCACTCCAATCTTCTTCAATCACGCTTTCTAGGGTTTCTGGACTTCAAGGGGGATCAAAGAGGCTGGGGAGAGGATA